ACGTAATATTTTCGCTTTGACATCGTGTTTAGCAAAAATATAATGAACAAAAGTTAAAACTTAATATTATATAAAATATAATATTCTATAATCTTAATATAAATTTCATTATTTATCTAAACACTTGGCAAAGAACAATTTATTGTCTACAATATGTATTATAAACATTATAGTTGCTATGATTTTATCAATATTTAATAATACAATACTTATTAAATGGTTAGAATTTTACTATGATACAATACAATATAAATTGACACAAAAAATATTTTCATATTATTTAATAGCAAAGGTAAGCAAATCCCTTTCAAACAAAAATAGATAAATTCTATATTTCTATGATTAAAATTAATAAGTACATACTAAATAGTCTATTTGTTAAAAGTAGTTATATATATATATAAATAAGCAATTTTGTAATTGTTTTAATTTTTTAGAAATAACTAAACAATTTTTAATTTAATTTTGAAATAATTATTCAAAATTAATTATGGCATAGATCCTTCTTGATTACTAGGTTTACATTGAACATAATAGCTTTATAATTAATATATTTGTTTAAACATAATTATTAGCAGCAAACACGGTAAATGTGAGCGTGTCAATTTTAAATTCAATAAACTTTCCCAATTGGCGCTGAATTGAATATGAGCCGGGAAATGAGTACACAAAGCATTGCCAATTACAATCAGGGTAGTTTCGGTTCATATCACTGCGTATTTGTGCAGTCATTTCGCTAATCTTTTCCGACTCCTTAATGGCATTAATAGTGATGCGTTGGATGTCGTAAACCATAGTCTCATTCATATCCGATTTGTTTACATTTAAATCGGGTTTTATTTTCTCAGTTAATATTCGTTGTCTGAATCCATCGTAATCTTCCTGAAGATTATTATAAAAATATAATTAATTTATTAATCTTGTTAATTTACATAACGAGTATATGATGCATGCTTTTAAATGTTTGTATATTATAAATGAGCAAGTTAGTTATTTTTAAATGTTACATAAAATATGAAAGCAGTTTTTAAATTCACTTTTTGATTACGAGGTCCATAAATCATTTTTGTGCATTTAACTAAAAAATTATATTTTTATAATTAATTAAATAAAATACAAAATTAACTTACCGTGTGTGTTTTATAAATAATAATATGCAGCATACCATATCGCAAATCAATCAAGCTACCAGTGTCATAAGTAAATGTAGCGTCAAATGCATACCCGGCTGCTACACTGCATTTAATACCTAGGTCATTATAGATGTTTTGCTTCAATTCTTTACAGAAATCATAGTATCTGTTATTTTCCATAATTCCTTTTTGTACATGACCTAGTACACATTCTTTCATATTGCCATTAATGTCACATTGCACAATTCTCTGATCTTGCATATGTTTACGGGCCGACTTAAATGCATCTTGCTCACTTAACTAATTAATAAATATTTTATAATACATAATTCTAATAATGTATAATCTAGCTAATCTTATTATATAATACTTAATACTTACCACATTATTAACAATCATATTTTTGGACTCGACTTGCAATTTTAATAGCTCATTCAATTTAACTAGATCAGTTAAACAATCATGGTCAGTAGTGAGCTTGCAATTACACTTATCACACATGGGAACATTATATTTGCAATTAGTAACGTGGTCAGCTAGCTCCGTTAACTTTAATATTTCATTGCAACCACGTCCTTTAAAGTCACAACTTATTTTCAAGTTAGCCAGCATATTTGTAATAGCCCTGAAATATAAATTAAAATTATGATTCTTACTTTTATTAATATTCAGAATTTACCTTGGTGGTGGGGTAAGTTGCCAAATGGTCATTGGTTTATCATCGTTAGGGCACTTGTAGTTAGATTTTATGATTGCTTGAATACAGTGCCGGCAATACATTTGTAGACAACATTGTGTGACTACAGGGCTGTTCAGTATGTTTTGACACGAACTACATGTCAGTTCATCCCTTTCCCATTCATTCAAATTAACAAAGCGGTCAGTATTATAGCCAGACATTGAATTCATATTTTTATACTTCATTAATATAATGTTTATATATAAGCACCACTATCAAAATAACTTTAAAATGCAATTTTGTTTCATATTTTATATTTATATTAAGAATAATATTTTAATAATTAATAATTGCTGAATAACTGTGACAAACATTTGAAGTTAAATATAAGTATGATATTTGCTTTCTCATTGTTAATTCTTAAAGGTTAATTATATATAATGCCAGTACTCAATAGGTATACTTAGACTCTGCTTATTATAACAGTAAAACACTGACTGGTATTAATGAAAGCAGAGTTTGTCACACTTATTGATAATTGAATTCATATATTAAGAAATTAATAAATACATATTAATGTTATATGTACGTATTAATGTTTACGTATTGTTTGACTAGATGTATTAAATAATCATTAATAAAAATGAAATATTAGTTGAAAATAAAAAAAAATGAAATATTGCTTTTTAGCCCTAAATAAATGTCAAATTTTATATAAATACATACCAATTTAATATTAATTTTTGTAATAAATTATTATCTAATATAACAATGTTATAAAATATTGTTTAATCTAGTAATCATTCATTTAAATATGAGAAAAAAGTTTACTATTATTTTCTAGTCAGATGTTAGACAATTATAGCCTTTGAGACTGAAATTTAAACTATTTAATAGTAATATTTAAAACATATATAATAAATTAAGTCGCTTATTTAAATTAATATAGATCGGCAAGTTTAATTAAAATAATAAATCTTTTAATTATCATAAATTTTTAGTGCATTTATTTAATATTACATGAGAATAATATTTACTTTAAAAGGAAAAACTTAAATAATTATAAAATAATATGAGCATGTTATTTTATAGACAACTTTCATTTCAAATTGTCGGTAAATTAATATTCCAAAATATTTGATATAATATAGACCTTTTTAGTTTAACATAATCATAAACTAAATAGATACTTTATTGTGTTTAAATGAGAAATTATACTGTTTAATGTGATTTAGTAATCACTGTGCCATAATTAAATAATTTTATATTGTAAATTATTGTATGCAACCCGAGTTAATTAATAAGATATTTTATACACAATTAATAATTAGCTATTTTAATAACTAACTTTCTGAATTTTATAAAATAAAACGATATATAATATCTCGGGAAATTATAAATCTTAGCAAGTTACTGCTTAACATGATATGTTCAATATGATAGTTTCTTGGTTATAAATACGTAGAAAAATTGATTATCAAATGATTTTAATATTTGCAATGTGGACTGAAATTCAGGATCATTTTTAATAATCGATTTATCAATAGCCCATTCGTTATATTTTGCCAATACTTCGGAGCACTCGGGTCTCATAGACCAAAATGGCGCCGACATCATTGATAATAATATTTCTTTCAAGGTAAGACGATGCTCATATAATATTTCTACTGACTCTGATTTAACGTCCATGCTATTTTTAAAAGATATAATATATCATAAATAAAATTATTATAATTTTCAATATTAAATATATTCAATGTTACTTATCACTGTTCAAGTTGAGCAAGTCGAAATCAAATATTTCTTCGCCAATAGGCGCGAGGCTATAAATATCAGATTTGTGGTCATATTTTCTACCCTGTAGGATTTCAGGGGATACGTAACGATAGGAGCCCAGTTCACCAGTGTGCTTTTGAGTGGTACTAGCGTTTTTGTCGTGAACTGTAGCCAAACCGAAGTCACATAACTTAATAAACCTATCGTTTCCTACATTCTCGATATCATGAACTATCAATACGTTTTCGGGTTTGAGGTCTCTGTGAATGATCTGTGGATTCAATTCATGNCTACATTCTCGATATCATGAACTATCAATACGTTTTCGGGTTTGAGGTCTCTGTGAATGATCTGTGGATTCAATTCATGCAAATACTGTACGCATTCTAACAGTTCTTTGAATATTTCGCATGATATATAATATTCAAATATATTCATCGGTTCACCCTTTTGTCGCCCAAATACTAGCAGCTTATCTGCCAACAGATTTTTGAGATTTTGCGAACAGAACTCCATTAATATATAAAAATAATTTTCTTTGGTCCACGAATGCAAATATTGAACTACATATTGAGACCGAACTTTACTTAAACTTTCTATTTCTTTTAACGCCCGTTCCTTGTATTTGTCAATTCCTTTACAATTAATGAAAGTAACTTGATCAATTAATTTTGCAATCATATTGAATAATGAGAATAAACAAACATTACCGCTAATATCAATACGCTTAATAGCAAAGACATTTTTATTTTTGCTTATAACTTTATAAACGATACCAAAACTTCCGGAATTAATTATATTTGATTCAATTAAACCATGCTCGAAATTCGAAATATCATAAATTTCATGGCCATTCGTATTGCCGTTACCATTTGATTTGATTTTGGTTTTGGAGTTGTAATTTATTTTATTTGTAGATGTAATTTCTGAACTTGATGGGTTTTCTAAATTTATATTAGTTTGTTTTTTAACATGTCATATTTTAAATTTATATAATATACCATAGTTATAATGATATTGACCATCAATTGTGTCACTTCCTATTGAACCGAAACCTGTATTTGAGAAACCTTAACAATCAAAAAATATTTTCTTAACTTTCAAATCAAAAAATATATAGCCTTAAAATATGTTAGTTGTAATTTTTAACAGATTATTATGTGACTTTAATAATTATCAAAGTAATTGATTAAACTCCCTAATTGAGTTTTTATAATTTTATATAATTAATATTTATTTCAATAAGCTCACCACTGTCGTAATTTATCAAGGGTTCCAAATTTAATTCGAGTTTTTCAACGTAACGATTTGCCCACGATAATTGATATTGTATTGAAAATAAATCATAAAATGATTGATAATTTGTTTCAACAATTTCAATTGAATTTAATATTAGGTAAATCATTTTGCCAGATATTGCAGTAACATAGGTCATATTAAATTTATAAGAATGTAACATAGTTATTTCTTCAAATTTAATAGTATTAATTGTTGTCAAACAATTCTCTTTAAAATCATAAAAATATAAGTATCCATCGTTTAATAACATATAAACTTGCTCACAATTTTTGCTCACATTTCGAACTCCAATAACATTCTCAATTAACATGGGAATTCCTATAGAATTTTTCGTATAAGGCATATAACCCCACATGAATACATGACCATACGATGTTATAGCAAATGATGTCCACTCGCAACTTATTACGTTAACAATGTTAAAATCAGCAGGAAATATAATTTTACTTGGTCGTATTATCAATGCTGTAAAAATATCGCTATACCCTATTTGTCCGTACGTATTATCACCCCACCCATATACCTGTCCTATATTATAAAGTATATGTGTGTGATGAAAACCACAGCTAACATAAACTAATTGATCATGTTTATTACTCAATGACAAGCTGCTAGGTTTATGATATTTTGTACCATACTGACTAACATAACCTAATTGTCCCCTGTTATTCTGTCCCCAACTATAAATAGTGTTATTTTTATTTATAGCTATCACATAATCATTTCCGTTATAAAATCCACAAATATTTTGTCTAGCTAATTGCGATATTTCTGTGGGTGAATCAACAGGTGTGTTATGTCCCAAACCGAGTTGTCCGTAAGTATTAGTTCCCAATCCATACACCGTGTCATCCTTTGTCACAAACAATATGTTATATCCTATGTAATCGTCGAAAACGTGAAATAATTTAATTTCTTGTTTTACATAATACGGTATATCATTACATATAGCATAGCGATTTAAGTCCCGCAACATTGTCACAAATATTATAACTTTAACACTTTTATTCAATACTAGAACAATAAGTCACAATGTTTAATAAATTATCAATATTTTTAATTTAGATATACCACTTAATATATTACTGGTATTTAAATTATGATTTTTAAATTAGTCCAAATTTTACTTTTCTTATAATTACTTTTTAATTTTGTAACAATTACAAATGGAGGCTTTTTAAAAAATTAATTAACTAAATTATTTGTAATATTTACGTTATAATATACGTTGTAGTGAATCATAACCTTTAAGTGATATAGATATATTTTTATCAATAAATTCTTGTAGATTATAGCTATAGTGATATAATAAATACTTTTATCAATCAATAATAAATATGTTTTTTACTCTATGTTTTCCGCATTGTGTAGAATATAAGTTACAAGCAGGGATAATTGCTATGACATAAATTTATATCTGTACAAATGTATTTTATTTATTTATTATGTGTCATAATTTAATTTGTTAATAGTTTATAGAAAACATTTGTGTAAACCTAAGACCATGTAAAGGTTTTCATTACATTACTGTTTACTGTATATAAAATTTTTATTAAACATTTATCAAACTTTTATAATGAATATGCACAATCATTTCAGTGAAATTCTTATTGCCATGAAGGTTTATACATATTGCTTGCAATAATTTGTCACTATAATCATTGTAAATTATTTACCTTAGTAGGGAACATCGAGGCACGAATCTCGATTCAATGGTTCTAATTGTTATGATTAGTTAGTCAGTAACATAATAAACATTTTGAATTGATTAAACTTGGCGAATCAAGTAAATTAACTTGCTAAATTTACGTTTAACTATCGTATGATATTATACGGCTTCTCAGCCATGTTTGCGGGGATCGTCACGTTTATTGAGCGGTACCTCAATATGACCAACAAATTAAGCACATTGTTCCTCATGTTTAGGAGTGTAATGAACCTGGTCACCCCTATTATTGTGGGCAGGTATCTAGAGAAATATTCGTCACGTTTATTGAGCGGTACCTCAATATGACCAACAAATTAAGCACATTGTTCCTCATGTTTAGGAGTGTAATGAACCTGGTCACCCCTATTATTGTGGGCAGGTATCTAGAGAAATACACCATGATATTTATAATATTTGAATTTTCATTTCTGTTCATATCGTTGGTTATGTTTTGTATCATTATATATTTGATTAGAAAATATTCTC